CAGAGGTGGTTGGTAGGGGGGGTGGGGCGCCTACTACTACTACGACGACGACGACGACTACTACTACTACTACTGCTACTACTCCTGCTGCTGCTGCTTCTGCTGCTTCTGCTGCTGCTGCTTCTGCTGCTGCTGCTTCTGCTGCTACCAGTACGACGACTACTACTACCACTATAACACTACTACTGCTGCCATGAATACTGCGACCACTTCTACTATTCTACTGCCACTATTACGACGATAGCAGCCATCACTGCTGCCACCAACAGTGCTGCAAGCGCCTCACCCCCCTCCGCCCGGGGCCCTGTTTGCTCGCCGACCTCCAAGTGTACTCCAAGTGTACGAACCCATCCGAGATCTGAACCTCCAAAACACAAAGTCACGCTTCGAAACAATACAGCTTCGAAGCACTGCTCTTGGAAGACCACAGAAGTATCACCAAATCCATGTCGCCACCCATGACAACGCTCACCCTGACCACATCCAACACCACACAAATGTTGTTATTTGCAGCACCTGCCATTCAATGGTGGTTTGTCTGGCAGGCAACCAGAGGAGAGTTGACGTAGAAGTGGACTTCGGGTACAAGCACTAACAGTCACTAACACTCTTATGACTTATGAGTTACAGTTAATGTTGCGAAAACTTCCTGATTTCCGAGCATGACAGACACGTCGTTACCACTCCATACTATTTCTGGTATGCTGACGCACATACTCTCTCTCTCTCTGGCCATGAACTTGGCCGCAGTATAAGGTTTACCACAACGGTTTACAGTAGGAGCCGGAGTGATGAGAACAGGGTAGAACAGGGTTTGGGGCACAGCATTTGTCTCGCGTTTGGGACATACTCAAATGACTCAGGCTCCATTCGTGCCGAAGAAACAGCCAAGACAAATCCGTCAAATCGTCGGCGTCCAGGAAGGAGCTTGACCCTGGGCTGAAAGTAGGATTTAGGTTTTCGGCACCACGGTTTGGTGCTTCTTGCATTAGGGGTCTCTCGTCGCGGTCCTTACACGAAAGATCCTACTACTTGAGGCTTAAGACCCAACGCTCGGGGCAATGTAGTTTGGGGCTTTGCTAGGGGCCGAGGCTTTACAAGAAGTAAGTCGACAGTCAGGGACTCCTTGGACGAGGCCTAACATCCCCCAAGGTGCACAGCACCAAATCCCTAAACTCTGAAGCAAAGCTTCTTGGTGTTCACGAGCTGTGGTAGACACCCTGTTACGGTTTAGGACACGGGGTGAGGTTGGGGCCTTTACTCTTAACCTCCCAAGAAAAAGAAATAACATAGTATAATCTCGTATAGTCGAGGGCAACATATTTCAGTGTATGACATAGTAGGACCGAATACTGTCGCCCATTTTAACAAAAACACATAAGAGACAACCCTAAACCCTAAACATCCCTAAACCGTAGGAGACATCATCTAATCTAAGCTCTGCCCGAGCAGCCCCGAACTTGGAGCTCGATCTTCAGGAGCCGCGCCAAACACCCGGCTGCGCTTTTCTGGTGGGACAGGAAGTAGCGGTAGAGCTTGCCTTCGAAAGTGTCTTCATAAGGGAGCTTTATGGAGCTTGACGGGCTTCCTTAATAAGTTTAAGGGGCTGTATAAGGGGGCTTCATCAAGGAGCCTTAATATTTATAAGGGTTTTCTTATGGAATTTACTCTAGGGGTTCTACGGGGCGTCATAGGGGCTCTGTCGGGGCTCTTTAGAGGGTATAGGGTATCATGGCTTTTGGGGAGTAGAGTTCGGAGCAGACAAAGGGCCCTAGGCTCCTGGAAGCTAAACTACAATGGGCGCTTAAACTACAAGCTACTAAGAGCTTAAGAGCTGTTACCAGTGATGCCGTACCGGTTTTCATCCACAACCACAAAAACCGGGTCGGAAGACTGGAAACGAAAAATTGCTAGAATTCTCGCCAGTGAGCTGCCGTTACGTGCCAGCAGGAGCTTTGCCATCGTGTAGAAGCTTAAGCCGGTTAGGCCGAGCAGGATGGCGCATAGGGCACAAGTGCAAAGGACCATTGAGGCGACCTTGTCGACTTCAGACACGAAGAAAGAGGCCTGAAAAAGGACGATGAGAAAGATCATGTTGGCCAAGATATCAGAATAAGATGCATGTAATGTGCGCCACGGCTTGAACAAGGCCACCACGAAAAAGTTCGAGCAGATCAAAACATGTACTAGCAGCAAGCTTGCACTGGCAGAAGGTAACACTGGCGCCAGAGCGAAGAGCATATTGCGAACTAGTAGGAAAATGGCAAAAGCCTCGAGGCCCGGAGAGAAGCGCAGAACGAGGAATGAGAAGGCGACGATAAACTTCATGTCTGCCATCTGAACACGTCGCGGGAGTTCGCAGAGGACTGCCCAGGCACATAAGGACAGAAAGCCCAGTGGTAGAAGACCCAGGATGCCACCAATGATGCAAAGATGCAAGTGTACTCCGGTAAAGTTGCAGAACACGCTGGCACTGCTCTGCAAGGTCGACACCCCATTTGGATGCTCCTGGCATTGAAGTGGCTCCACCACAGCAGTACACAGCACAATAAAGAAGAGCACCGAGAGCGACCCGAGCGTCTCGAGAAGCACGTAGAGCTTTGAACTGCCTCTTCGACGCTTGCGGAGGGCGCAGGGAGTCTGCAGAAAGAGATGAGTACATGTCGGTGCCACCATAAAGGCGGCTGGTACAGCAAGAGTCTGAAGCAAAAACTGCAGCGTCGGAGTGAGCCGCGCTACGCAGGAGATTGCATGTAGCGACTTGACGAGTGCCTCCAAAGAGAGGAAGCTGAGCCAATCAAGAATCAGAAGAAAAGGTTCGCCCCAGTTCACCTCGATCTTCTGGATCACGACCAAGAGCTGCAGATAAACGACCAGCTGTGTGATGTACATGGTCACACTGAGTAACGCGCCTTGTCTTATAATATGGCGTTTTGCCTGGTAGAGAAACCAAGCATGAAGCCAGCCTGTGCTAAGAAAGATCACGAGAACTATGAACACCAAGAACACGTAGTCACCTCCACCGCATGGCTCGCAAGTCTCACCACTCGGGCGTAGTCCCGCCAGGCACATGCTGCAGGCCACGCTACTGACCTGGTTTCTTGTTCAGCAACTTGGCGAAGCTTTAGATACGAGTATCATGGTGCTGAAGAGAAAGCTAGCTTACTTCTTGCAGATCCTCATTGTGTTAACTTCAACTAAAGTAACTAAACGACAGCCGCGTCACGTCACGTCCAGCCGCACAGGTCCCAGGGGAGCCCCCGGGGCAGACTTCCACACTCCTGAACTGTTCCTTCTTAAGAATGTCCAATAAAGCACTTAACTAATACTGCAAAGTTGTTGAGAATGCACTGGTCTGGAATATTCCAGCCAAGACTCTCACATCTGAAGACGGAACCGGGATCCCCTAAACTGGAGAAGAAGCCCGGGAGCAGTTGCAGTTGGTCCGAACCTGTGCACTTTGTCCCATCACTACATACTTGGCATGCTCCATCATGGAGAAACCAGCCGGATCTGCAATGGCAGAAGCTCTCGTCAGTGGCCCCCTCTACTTCCAGCCACCTCTCCTGTCCGAGCGCCACACGACTTGTGGTCCACTGCTCACCTCCAGATCCACATTGCTGGCACTGTGTCATCCCAGAGGTGTTCGCATAACTTCCAAGTGCGCAGACTTCACACGCAGTGATCCCATTGACAGCACCAGCCCTACCGGGCTCGCAGTCAAGACATGATGTCCCTCCGGACGCGCCCTGATACGTGCCAGCAGGGCAGGATTCACATGTGTAGGTCTGCCCAGAGTCATCCACTAACGATCTAGATGCTGTCCCAGATGAACAGAATTTGCAACTGACGGCTGCAGCACGGGATCTAACAAAGCTCCCTCTCGCATCAACTAGGCCGTACCCAGGAAAGCAGCTTGTGTCCTTTCGGAGCCAATTTCTCCACCTCTGGCTGTTTGAAAGGACCCAGTGGCACGCAACCACCTCTAGCGATTGATTCTCTGTGGCCACCTTCATCAGCTGAGTTTGCACTTCAGACAAATCAAACTCCATATTCTTCACAAACTCGTAGACGTTGAAAGCCTGAAAGCGCAGCTCGCGGGCAACGAGCTTCCCAATGTAGGATCCCTGGGTCATGCTTCGCTTGTTTCCCTGTGCCCACTCACTCGCGCGGTGCCTCGGGAAGATAATTGGCTGCGGGTCCAGATGTGCAAACCGGACATCCGGTCGATACCAGTAGGTCAGGCTTCGGTGGTTGGTAAAATGGTCTATATGCAGTTGAACACTCAGCGATATTCCGATGGCGGTGGGCATCCCGTAGGCAGCTGACCAGAACATGAACGTGTCCACCAGCCACCCGAGACGATTAGATACAACTGGAATACACATCGATGTGTTGTGACGACAAGCTGGCGAAATCCAGAAGCGCCCGTCAGGACACTTGGCGTGATATCCTCCGGCAACCTGGCAGACATCCCGAGGCTCCAAGCACAGGCTGCTTACAGAAATAGCTCACAAAGGGCAAGCCACCAAACTCTGAGCTTGAGCTTGAGTGACATGCCAACCCTCCAGCTATCGACACACTCACACACTCGGGGCCCCAGTTTGCCTTGAAGTGCAACCTCAGAGCTGATTGCCATAGCAACACTTCTGAAAATATGTACCCTACAGCTTTCAACCCCGTCCATCGATACCCCTAAACCCCGAAAGCCCTAACCTGCTGCTAGCCTCGACGAGGCCGTCGAGATCACCGGTCCATTGGGCGTATGGGTTCATGGCCGTGGTATCCTGGGCTTTCTTTGAGGGTCTTCCGACAGTGCCGTCGGGATTTTTAGCACCCTAAACCTTTACCGCGTACGTCTTGTGTAAGGGTTAAGGAACCCTAAACCCGAAAACCTTAAAATCCGAAAACCTCAAACCTTAAAGCCCCAAACACTAAGTCCTACACCAGAAGCCCCAAACTTGTTTATAGTACCCTGGACAGAGCCCTGAACAAAAACCCACAGTCTCTCATCCCTGAAGATGATATAGGGGTCTTAATGGTTAGAACGGCGAAGATTCTACCAATGGCTATGCCAAACTACTATGCAAGTTTTCAGGCCCCTGTTACCTATGATGCTGAAACCGATGCCAGCGTCGGTCCAGAGCCGCCCCGTCTCGTTGCAGAAGGCGATCTCCTCTCGTGTCAGGGTAGCTTCTGCATTCTTGCGGGGTTCTGCTCAGGTTCTTGTAGGGCGCTCTGGGGTTCTGGGGTTGAGGGCTCTAGGGCCGAGAGCATAAGAGTGTGTTAGGGCCTGTTAAGGTGTTTGTTGGCTTTGTTTTGGGGCTTTGGGGCTTAAGGCGGGGAGTTAGGGTTATTGCATAAGGCTGTACTACTATACTGCCACTGCTACAGCTACAGTACCGGGCTGCTGCATAAGTCCGCCTCACTTCCACTTCTACTTCTGCTTTTACTACCACCTTGCTCATTCTACTGACCTTCCTAGTTTGCTGCCACGCAGGGAACCATTTGCCGTCTTCAGTCCTCGGCTGGCAGGTCCGTCAGCTTGTCGAAGTGTTTCTTTGCCTTACGAAAAATTTAGGGTTCCGGGACCCCTAAACCCTAAACCCTAAACCCTAAACCCTAAACCCTAAGAAGACAACTATGGGACCACCAAGCTGCATCATAGTTTGAAGTATTGTAGCTCATGTAGAACTGCAGGGTGTGCCCGGTAGCACCATAGGCTTCCTGGAGGACATCCTGCGAGACATACATTGCCTCCTCACCAGAGTAGCCCATAGTGCCGAGATCTTCCGGAGCTTTGCTCGGATGGCGTTCTCTGAAGATCTGAAACTCTGCACCATATGCCCCGATCCAGGTCTCTAGAGCTATGTGGCCCACCTCCCGGGATAGGCCGAAACCCCAAACCGTACAAAAGCCTCTGAAAACCTTGAGCCCCTAAGCCTCTTAACCCTCAAACTCCCAAGCCCTGATGCCGAAACCGCTAAACCCCCGCAGACCCTACAAACAGACGGTAACCCTCTTGGTAACACTGGTATACCCTAATTATCACCCCTATACAGTACCCCTTGAAGGAACCCTAGACCCCAAACCTCGGGCCTGCGGGGAGAGTTCGGAGCAGTTGGTGCTTTTGCAACCTGAGAGCGGCAAAGCTGCATCCAAAACCTGAGCTCTTCGGAAGGAACTTCATGGTTTAAGGGTCTATGGCTCGTCTTCAAGAACTTGCGGTATGTTCAGGGCCGTGTTTGTTAGGTGTGTTCTCTTTGCTTTATAAGGGCTTCGGGGTTTAGGAAAGGGTCGTACATGGTAGTGCGCGGCTTTACAGAGCTTCAATCGTGCCCAAGACGGCGTTTACAGAAGATTTAAGAAACTTAAACTACTTCTACTTGGAGCTGCACAGTTGGTAAATAAGATGCTTTTCTCGAATAAGTTGTTGAACAAGCGTAACATAGGCTTTTGTAGCTTAACTCGGCTCCTTAAGAAGAACCCAGCAGCCGCCAGCGGTCGGAGGTCACTGATGGAGGCTCTGTACCCCAAGACCTGCTGGTTGTTCTTAGGGTTTCGGGTTTACGGTTCAGGCGTTTATGCAAGACAAGAAGTCACCAAGGACGGTCGGGGCGACTCTACACAAAGATCACGGACTACCGGCAAAAGGAACTCCTATTTGCCACGCTGCACACGCTTGGGGGCCATGTAAGCAATGTAGGAGAAAACAAGGATGTACAAAAAAGCTTGCAACAGGTAAATGACACGTTACTGCCGAACTAGATGGACCAAAGGGCACCATTTGCACGCTTGGGTTTGGGGATGTACGGTTTAGGATTTGGGACTTCAGCGGTTTAGTTCTGCATCTACAGCCCGACCGAAAAACGGGTGAAGGCAAGCTTGCTCAGGTAACACGGAGGTCTAAATAATCCCCTATAGTATACCCCTCAGGCCATCTGAACGTCCCCGTTGGGCCGATGGACGCACTAGCTGTGAGCCGGCCTGCGATGACTCTTTCTGTCGAGCTTGTCTTTTTAAGGTTCGAGCTTGCCACAATACGAACAGCTCCTCATTCAAGCCAGACCCGTTTGGCCTCCAAGACCCTACGCTATAGTATTTAAGGCCCAGTTCGTCGCGGTGCCATGCGCTGCCACACGAAGCAGAGGCTACGACGTTTTTTAATCATCATTGGGGGGGGCGCCTCTTCAACCACAATCCTGGCGATGATGGACACGAGCTCTGCCGAAGACCACTCGAAAGCCAGGAGCTGAATCCTGGGGGCTCCCTCTTTGAAAAGGCTACCCTTCCTCCCAGGATTCAGCTTTATATGTAATGAAGGAATCCCCAAAGAATGGCCAAAGAGTACTGCTGGCTGGGACCTAGAATCACATCGAGCTCGCCGGTACTTCGTTGCAAGAACTCCCGGTCAGCTTGTGGGATTCCATCTGGCAGGCACAAATCCCCTCTGCCGACAGCGAGCAGAAGCCATGGCAGCAACTTCATCCCCGCCAGCCGCGCGTCAGGGTTAGGTTTTAGGCTTGAGGGTGTTGGGTGCAGGATCTTTCGTGAATTCGTCTGAGGCAATCCTTCACGTCGACTTGCTCATTCAGCTTGAGCTACAAATTTGCTTCAAGCAAGCTCGGCCTGTGACGATCCCACATAGGGACCGTAATTATTGGAATGGGGTGACGAGGTCTATTATATTACCATAACATTAGCAGGGACTAGCATGGAAAGCATTATTCCGATCCTGTATAAGGGTTTAGGATCCGGGATGAAGGGTTTAGTGCCCGCCTTTGCACCTTCAGAACAAGGAACAGAGGACGCACTGTATAAAAATGCCCGGCTTGGTGATGCCATTGTAGGAGAGGAATATAGGGGCCTGAATTTTCAGAATGCCCATTTTCCTATCACTATACAAAGGAACCCCAAAATAGTATTGGTAACTATTGAGGCTTCAAAATTATCGCGAATCCTGAGGCCTTACCGGGTCGTCGCATGTGTTGCTGTTAAGCTACTTGTTTCTCTTCTCAAGATTGGTAGCGTTCACGTTTGATTAGTCCCGGTTTGACCGATCGCGTTCTAGGAAGTGCACCAGTCTGCACCCCGGGGTCGCAATCAAAAACTGTTCCGCGCCAGGCTCATTTTCGTATACCTGCACCTCTATGACTAGTCTCTGGCCGCTCCCGACACCCAGACCTCCCATCACTCCCAACACACCCATCGAGCAGAGCCTGTTTCCGGACCCAGGTTGTTCCCGTTCTCGGCATGTGGGGGACGCGGAGGTCGGGGGCGGGAAGGGGTGGCTTACTCATCGAAACCCATCAAGACCCCACATTAGCGCTCCCACTTCATATCGTGCATGTATAATTGCCTTGCCTTGCCCACCGGCCTTGGCCGTGCTTGACATTTGTCCGAGCGTAAGTGTGATATGTGCATGACTTTGCTTCAAGGTGCGCTTTCGGTCGTTTATTTGTGTGCTTCTGCAACTGACATTTACCTGTGTGGCCTCCCCCGTATGATCTACACCTCCCGCCTCGGGGACTCTTCATCACATCTCTCTCTCCAAGCTTCTCCTCTAAGTACTCTACAAATCCGACGCCATATGGGGGTTTCCGAAAATAGGGGACCTTATTATAATACCCCAAATAGGAGGATCCTCATTATAAGGACCCCAAAAGAAAGTACCCCGTATGTCAATTCGACTCTAGAGCTGGTTCTGTTAAACGGATCTCTGAACTAGCCGTTCTTTTCTCCATGCGAAGTAGAAGAACTTATCTTTCCGCGAGATCTCTGCTTTCATAGAAAAACGTAAGAAGGCTCCCAGTAAGCTGCTCCCCTTGACCCTGCATTTTAGCCGCCGTGCGATGTTGTGCATCGCTATGTCGGAAGGCAGTACTCAGCAGGAACCCTATTGATTCTGGGACAGCTATTAGTGCACATGCCATTGCCATTGCTTTTGCCGCTGCTTCTTGCCAAGGCTACTCTGACTACGAAAAACAACAACCCGTACGACTTTTAGGACCATGGGTCGCAAAGCCCATATAGTAGAACACACTAGCACTGAACCCGAACCAGCCCCAAAACTCGAATGTTGAAATGTCAAAACAGAATCCGCGAAAACTCTGAAAATTGTACTATAATACGTCTTCAAACCCGATTCTAATAATTACTGAAGCCCCTATATTACCTCAGATTTAGGGGTGTTTAGGGTTTAGCGACACCATAAACACCCCCGTGCAAAAAAGCTTTGTATATAAAAGGGAGACCACCCCCCTAACTGGAAACTCTAGGCCCAAGTAGTTCTTCCGAGCACCGTACACTGCCTTCACTTCCAATGCCTGCGGGAGCTCAGGCGGTATGGGGTGGTTTCAGGGTGGCTTGAAGTGTCTTATGGCTTTATGTTTAGGGCTTTAGGGGTTTGAAGATGTAAGGCTCTTGCAGGCTTTCGGAAAGGTCTTGGGATTTAGTATAAGGGCCTTGGTTGTCCAATATGAAATCACAATATAACTAAGAATCAGAAACCCTACGGAGTAATACTGCTAATTTTCAGGCCTCCATGTTCTTAGTACTGCATCATGACGGTACCAGTACCTTGTTCCCCAGGCCCCCGCTAGGCCCAGCAGCCTGAACGGCGGTTGCAGCAGTAAATCGTGATCAAGGTGGTTTCATGAGAACGACGGCCCTGGCAAGTTTCTTGATACTGGTGCCAGTAGCAGCAGGACAATCGCAAGGCCATAGTCAGCAGTAGTAGAGCAGTAGTAGTAGTAGTAGTAGGAGGAGGAGGAGAAGTAGTATCATCTAGGGCTATGGCAACCATCACGGTCTTAACAACTGTGCTGCCGCTGGAGACCGAGAAGAGCAGCATAGAGAACAAGCGGCAGCATTGTGCTTATGCTGCTCTTACCTCCTGCCAGCATGGTGGCTTGAAAGTACTGTCAGCATTGCTATGCTGTTGCCTTTACATAGCCTTGTAACTGCCACATTTTACCTCCTAACACTCGGCCTTGCAACGCAGGCACATTCATGTGTTTTGGGGCTTCAGGCTGGTAGTGTTCAGGAATGGGGCTTCCGGGTTCAGGGCTTGGGGCGCGGAGGCAAACATCCAGGGGCAACAAGCTCTCACTTTTATACACCAAGTTTCTTGCAAGGTCAGGTGAGCAGCTATGTACGAAGTGGCCCACGTCCACTGATTTGTTTACGAAGCTCTTGCAATCCATAAGGCTGGCTTTGGAGGCTTCAAAAAGCATCGCGTAGACAGGAAAAAGACTGTTTTGGGTTTGGGCCTATAGGGTTTCAGGGTTAGGCATTGTGTCCATGAAAAATTGCCCATATCTCGAAGCCAGACAGACCAACCCCCGTGTCTCTCACAAGGCAGCAGGATGTATAACAGCAGCATTCCACAATAACACGGGGTTTGGGTGCAGGTGCCTTTTAGGCACGTCAGGATAATGTAAGCATCCAAAATCAGAGTCTCCAACTTTCGCTAGAGTTCCTCGATGTGAACCGAGGCAGCAGAGAGGGTCTGAATTGTGAGATACAGCTGGCCTTGAACATGGCCATGGCAAGGCAAATTGGAAAGCCTTACCGCTCTGCGCACGACGCTTTTGTACATGGGTGTCCAGATTGAGCGTCAAAATCGGCGCTGAGCTACAAGATTTCACAAGCTGCTAGCCGGGCCAGCTGAGTATATGTACAAGCTGCAGGATCAAGGCTGCGGGCGCACGTCAAGAATCTCAATTCCGACTGTCAAGCTTCCGTTGCCCTTGTCCACCTGGGAGAAGAGTCAGCATGAATGAGCCCAACGCTGAGACCACTGTGAGTAAAGATCTCAACTTTACCAAGCCCGCCCGAACCCTTAGCCCTGAAACCCCAGAACCCTAAATAATAAAGCCTCAACCCGAGCAAAAGGATCGCAACCCTAAACCTCTAGACCCTAAAAGCCAAAGCCCCAATTTCTTAAACGCCTTAAAGGAAAACTGCACCCCGTAAACTCCTCCAACACCCCCCTAAACCCTTACAAACCCCCTAAGACCTCTAAACCCTAACCCCCGCTTCAAAAAACAAACAATAATAATGATAATAGTAACAATAATGATAATGATAATGATAATAATGATAACGTTAATCATAATAATCATTATCATAATCATAATCATAATAATAAAATATTAATGACAATAATATAACAATAACAACAATATTACAAAAATAAGAATAAGAATAAGAATAAGAATCAACCCCATGTTCCCCCAATCCTCCCGCCTGCTTCAACCAATCCACGCCCAAGTCCTCGAGCCCATGGATCGCTTGCTCGGAGAAGTCATAGACCAAGGGCCCAGCGCGAACCTGGCTTTGTTGTGGCTTTCCTTTGAGGGTTCTATAAGGGTTACTATCAACTTTAGGCCTTAGGGTTGAGGAACTGGAAGAGAAGAATAAGAGGGATCTACAGTACCTCTAATAGGGTTTAGTATGGTAACTTCAGTGAAACGCCTCAAAAGGAACCCGGCTGTTTTACACAGGGGGGCCTCAAGAAGGCTAGAAGGCGGTGTTCAATCAGGTTGCTGGCTTTCTGAAAGAATTTGCTTTATGAGGGCTGCCGATCAGGCTATCCGGGCTGCTTGAAGAGATTGTGAGTGGTTTTTTTTCGCAGAGAATCGGATATCTCGCGAGATTTGGTTAAGTGGGCTTCCGTGGTTTTAAGGTTTGGGCTTCCATTGCTGAGCCTGTCCCACGAGGAGGTTCACGGTCATCACGGTGGCACACTGGAGGCAGTCTGCCTTTAGCTTCAGTGAGCCGTGAAGCGGGCCCTTCTTGATCATCTGGGTGTAGAGGCCCTTGCGCTCACCTCTGATGGATTTATCAGGGCTTGGAGCTGCATGCGTTTCTAAAAGGGGGTTTTACGGGGCGTCGAGACACTTAAGTCCGCTTGCCACAATAAGGAAGGCATCTTATCGACTACCGTGCTCTTGCACACACAAAACGAAACCCTAAACCCTGATCAATGGTGCTGGCAAGTTAAGGGAGGCTCCTTAAGAAAAGCTGAGTCACTGCTCCGGGCATTCTTCATGGTCTCCCGTCCATCAGGAAACACCTAGGTTGGAAGGACCTTAATCATTAGAATAGGGTTCTGGGGGTATCGTATACCAGTTGCACTACGGAACACTAAGGAATGGTATAGCAACCCCTTCAAAGTGAGGATGCCCTTTGTCGTTTTCAGCTTCAGAGAGGAAGAAACCCTTCAAAACAAACAAATGCAGAAGGCTACCGAAAGTGGGCATCTTCAGCCTAGATGCCATTAGACGAAGATTGGGTAGGCCAAGAGCTGCGAAGGGAGGTGAAACCAGTGGCCTTCCCATGCTGGCTTGGAGCTTTCCATTGAGGTCGTCAATTCTCCACTCAACGCGTGTGCACATGGAGCCGGCATAGTCAACGCCAAAGATCTTGATGCCAGGTGGCAAGTCTAGTTCGGTTGCAACGGGCACGACGGATTTGGCCACCCTAGGGCCTGCGAGTGATTGCTCGGCTGCTAGCCCGGGGGGCGGCTGAAAGCGCTTGGGGGCTTCTTCTTGCCATGGGCTGGGGTCAACGGTGGCAAACTGCTCGATCATCGTGGAAAGGTGTGGGGGCAACTCCAAGGGCTCGTCGCCCGCAAGTGGTTTGTCGTACTTGTTGATGATGGGTTCTGGCAGAGGGACTCGGAGCGGCGAGGCCCATGACGAGGCGGGCATCGCGCGCATCGGCATCGAGGGACCCGGCGGCGGCATCGCCTCTGGGAGGTGTTGGGGGAGTTGGGACATTGGCCACGGGGAGCTCATGGAGGTGGTCTCGTTCCACGGTCTCGGCTCTGCGTCCTCGCTCCATGCGTGGGCGTAGCCGGTGGGACCACCCGGTGCCGCTAACTGGGCATCTAGCCCTGAGAGGTACATCTTCTTCGTGTCACCACTCCACTCCTCGGCATGCCGGGCTTGAGAAATGGAGGCATGCAGGAAGCTCCCGAGCCGCGGCAGACTCGTCTAAACCCACCAGCCTAGCAAAAACATCACGCAGCTCTTAGCCTGTAGCCTTGCACAAATCTCCGCTGATCCCAGCTTTAAACTCTGAAGCACGCTGCAACAACATATGCGAGTCTCGAAATCACACAGAAGAAGAAGTAGGATCAATCAAGACAACACAACCGCAACGAAAACATAAACACGACGACGAGAACGACGACGACGCGAGCGCAGAAGCAGGAGGAGGAGGCTTAGGTGATGCTGGGCGCCGACACGACAGCCATCACAACCACCACCACCACCACCACCACAACCACCACCACCACCACCAGCGCCAAGACCGCTCTCACCGGCTACATGACGCTTCCCCGGTAACTCTGGTACTGTCTCCAGCGCCACCGTCACAAACCCAGCACGGGCACCGACGATAAGTAGAACAGCAGCGCGACCGGCAGTTCAACGAAACACGAAGACAGAAAGAGCAAACAACTAAGACCACCAAAACGAACAAGCACCAACGACTGCCACCAAAAGAGTGCGAAGTACAGGGACGTGAAACATCGCGACAGCCAGGCAAGAAAAAAGACGACATCAACAAAGCTTCAGCAACAGCACAAGCACCCCCAGCTGCTGAACCCTAAACCCCATTTTCCAAACCCTAGACCACGCACACACAAGAGATGACAGTGTGGAAATTAATAAAAACCTCACGTCACACAAGCCCGAACGCCAGCACCAACGAGAGCACTGACAGAACCACCCAACAAGCTCAAAACCAAAGAAAACAACGGCAACCATCAAAAAACTACGAGAACCAGCACCAGCCAAAACCGGCACACACACACACATTCATTCGATAACTATATAAATATATACATACATACATATATATATATATATACAGGTTAGAGAGAAAAGTCATGACAAGAAGAAGAACGGTTGAAGCTGAGGCCGGGTCCGACCATCCCTCCGGGTTTCCGGCGAGGGACTCGGAGATGGAGATGGTGAGCATCTCCTCCTCTTCTCGCCCCAAGGTAAGAGGAGGGGCTCTTAGGGCTTGGGGCTTCGGGGTTGTGAGGGGTTGAGGGTTTAGGGTTTAGGGTTTAGGGTTTGGGCTTAGGGTTTGGGGCTTCGGGTTGAGGGGTTGAGGGTTTAGGGCGGCTCCAGACGGGTTCCGGTAAAATAGCTGCGCAAGGGGTTCATACAAGCTTCGTCCCGGTCTTGGAGCCTCCTGGGACTTAGAGTAAATGAACCCCTCCCCCTCCTCTTCTCCCTCCCCTCCCCCACCCAACCCCCTTATCCGCCACACACCGCTCACCCCACCCCCTACCCCTCCCCTTCCTCGCCCCCGCCCTCCCACCCCGCCCCGTTTGATCAGCACTCGGTTTCAGCAGTTCCCCCTCCTTGGGGTAAGGTTCAGAGCTTCAGGGTTTACGATTTAGGGCTTTGGGGGGGAGGGGGTTGAGGGTTTTGGCTTCGGCGTTTCGGGTTTGGGGCACTCCTCAAAGGCTGAGGGGGCTCAGCGAGTGCTTTGACAGGGGCTCTTCGGAGCTTTCGTAGTAGGGTTTCATTGGGGCCCTACCGGGTGTGTGTTGAAACATGGGACTTAAGAGCTCGGCTCATGTGGGGGCCCCGAAAGAAGGTACCCGTGGCTTTCGAACAACCATCCAGGAACCAGTAAACAACCCTCGTCACCTGCCACCACAATCACTCGAGAAGGACCCAAAAGCAATGACACCTCATGATTAGGGTGTTGTGTAGGGTGTAGGGTGTTGTGTAGGGTGTAGGGCACCCTCTATAAACCCTAAACCCTCAAAAAACTCCAACTTGCTCGCAAGTGGCGATCTGCAGACCTGATGCCAAATCCTCCAAGTAAACGTAACTAGGACCCTTGTAATCCTTACCAAAGACTTTAGGGTAGGGCATGGGGAGTTTTAGGGCTTAGGGGCTAGGGTTTGGGGAGCCGGGCTTTTAAGGCTTAAGGTTCGGATTTGAACGTGGGGGGGTTACGGTCTGGGGGTGCAGGTTTAAGGTTTGGGGTCGGTGTTTAGGGTGTTCAAAAGTGTAGGGGTTGTGATTCAGGGTTTCGATTCAAGGCCTTGGTGTTTACGGCTTCAGGCCTTAGGGTTTGATGGTCTTGATGTTGACATGATGGCCTCTGGTGAGCTATGCCTACTATTTGATTGTCTAGGTTCATTCATATTATTTGAACCCCCAAAGCGCAAGAGCGGCCGTCCTTCGTGCGGCCCGTTTCGCCCCGTTTTGCCCCGTCTTCGGGGCCCGGGGAAAGACTACGGGTCTTTGCAGTGATCCCACGCTGCAGCAAGCATCAAGGGTACTTGGAGGTTCATGGGTAGTTATAAGTGGGGTTATAGGTAGGGTAACTATAATTATAACCCATATTAGGGGACTTATAACCCCACTTATAACTACCCATGAACCTCCAAGTAGCTGGCAATGCATGCAACAGCGATGCACAGCGCGGTTTCGGGGGTCAGGGCCACTGAAGGCGTGCAGGTAGGATGTCTACGATTCACGACGATCCCCCGCCTCTCCTAGGCAAACCCAACTGCGGGAAGCCTTGTATCTTTTCGGGGGGCAGCCATGGCTTCAATCTCTAGGTCCTCAGGTTCACCTAGACGTGTGGCAGACTACGTGTGGTTGAGTAAACAGCGATGTCCGACAACCATGATCCCTGCTGCTGCACTGCCACTGCTCTTGCTGCCGCAACTACCACTACCACTACCACTACTGCTGCTGCTACTACTGCTACAACGACTACCTCTACTAAAAACCTAATACTGACAATAATCATCTTCATCACCATCATCAGAACACATCAACACAACCACTACCACAACTACGAGGACGACGGCGACGACGACGACGACAACCACCACCACGACGACGACAACGACGACGACGACAACAACCACGACGACGAGGACCACCACGACGACGCCCACGCCGACGACGAGTCTTACTCGGTCCTGCTCCTGTTCTTGCCAGCACCATGGTTCTGCTACTGTGGTGCTTCTGCTACGTTGAGTAGAACGGTAGTGGTGATGATGCTGGTTCCTACTCGTGTGTAATTGCACTTAGCCCAAGCTTCGCGGCTGCGGCATCAACACCTGGCAGAGTGACTTAACGACCCTAAGATCAACTCACCAACAGAAACCCCGCTTCGAAGCAACTCATCTGAGCGATACGAGAATAATCGGGATCTGGATAGTGAGACGAAGCCTCTCGGGGGGTGTCGGACTGAAGACGCACTCTGTCGACATGATTCCGCAATTGCGTGAGGGGGGGGGGGCGTCTCGAAAGCATAGCCGCCGGCACCCCCCAGTTTAGAGAACAGCAGACCTAAACCATAAACCTTAAATCCTAAATCCGCAAACCCCATTTGATTCTTTTTTTGTCCAGGTCCAGCCGAGAAAGACGATCCAAACCTCAGCAATTGTTGCACGCGGGGGATCGGATCGGGGTGACTTTGTATAGAGTTTAGCTGTAGAACAAAGGCTACTCTTTCAAAACCATCTGACGGTGACGCTGGCGCTACTCTCTGAGCCCACCGATCCCCGAAAGAACTGCAAGTGCGGAGAGCTCAATAGTACTCAATGGTAGTCACGGTAAGAAATGGCAATGGCAGCAGCGACAGCAGAAATAGCAGCAGCAGCAAGAGCAGCAGCAATAGTGGCAGCTGGCTGTTGCCGTTGCAGTTGCTGTGGCTGTTCCTGTTGCTTCTGTGTTTGTTGCTGCTGCTGTTGGAGCAGTAGCTCTGGCGGCAGTAGCAGCAGAAGAAGTAGCAATGCTGCACGTCAACCCCAAACTCTAAAAACTCTAACTCTGATCACCTAACCTCCGAAATCCCTAAGTTCTAAAGCCCCAAACACAACCTCAAACTCCTAAACCATTTCACAAAACCTGCAAAATCCTTGCAAAACCCGACAAGCCCTGTAACAATGGAGAATCCGTCGAGATCATGTCAACCCTTACAAAACCGCGGGCCCCTGGCGGTTCCAGAGCTCCTCGTCGCTCAAGGGCCCGGTCCAGTTTCCGGGAGGCCGCGTGGGCGACGCGGCCTCCAGACTGTGTTGTTAGGGGCCTTCTGGGGTTTCGGGTTTAGGGTTTAGGGATTTAGGGTGGTTTAGGGTATTTGTTTTTTATTGGCTTCTATCGGGATTTGGAAATCTTTTATAGAGTTGTTAACGGGTGCTATACGATTAAGAGTTGTCTGGGGCTTGATTACAGGGTGCATAAGGATCTATCTGCATCTGTACATATCTATCTATATCTATACCTATATCTAGACCTGTAGGACCTTTATCTATTTCTATCCCTATATCGGTATCTGGACCTATGTGCACACATATGCACGTGTATAGACACACACATATCTACATATATACACACACACAACATATACATATATATATATATATATATATGGGATGTAGACAGAGAAGATCCGCATGGTCAGAAGCATTCCTCACCCAGAGGCCCGAGACCTCTTTTAAATCTGGGTGTAGACTCTAGAAGAACAGAGAACAAGTATATAGGGACCTTACTTAGACAAGTATTTTGGGGGTAACATAGTTTTTGTCGGGACGGCAAGGGGATACTACTACTGACCCGTGCCTTGACCACGTCGTTCTGCCGCCTTCTGGGCAGGGCTTCCTGCGCTGGCGCGGGCTCGCGGGTGTCACCCGCACCACTACGCGGCCTTGGCGAGGCACTCACAAAGG